ATGTCCGCTTATAATGTTATCAAGATTTTTACATCAAAAAACATCATAATTCAGAAATAATAGGCTATTTTCTGTCCTGTTTTGATGCCCTCATCAGAACGCTCTGTGGTGTGGTGTGTGGTGGATCGTCAACTCAGAAGTAAATGCTATGATTGGCTAACATCCTTCATAGATGCTGTGTTTTAGAAACTGACATTTTCTGTAAAGCTGCTTTGCAACGATTTTTATCGTGAAAAGCGTTATACAAATAAACTTAAATTGAATTGAATTTAATATAGACGACAGCATCGTCTTTTAGTTTCAATCTTTCTGAAAATCCTGCGTTGAATTGTGCCTTGTTTGCAAACAAATCCGCAGAAATGAAGTGAAAAAAGGACCAAGCTCTTACTGCCGTGATCTGGAACTTCATTAAAAATAGTTCATCTACTCTTTCCTAACGTTGGGATCAGAAGGAAGGCGATGCAAACACTGTGTTTTTCCACAGCTTGGCAATGAACAGCATCTTGTTGTCTTCGGAGCATCTTTATTGTTTGGTTTCTGTCATTAAGTGGCTCATTCCACAACCTGTGGTTTTGGCAGATTGGCCTCAATATAAGCAGTTTTTAGACTAACGAGAAATTTTGAGTTCTGAAATTTTTTACAGTACAATGACCTCTTATATGTCAAAAGATCAAGGGAATTTTGATTTCTCAGTTCATGACCTCTTTAAGAGAGAGAGAGAGAGCGACAGAGAGAGAATAAACCTCTGTAATTCTGTTGGACGACACTCTAAATGTGAACATTCACGTCGAAGAAGCCTCCGTTCAACATCACATTAGTCTTGACAATGACTCAACTCAATACTGATGCACTGATTGTACTGTACTGATGTCAACGTTGACCATCACACGTGGGTAAGTGAGCAAGAACGGAGAACAGTAACTGTCTGTCAATCATCTGCATGACCTTAATGACCTCTAAACAAGCCAGAATGTGTTTAAAACTAATTTTAAGTAATGAAGCATAACACAAATCCAGTGTGCGTTGAATTGTGCCTTGTTTGCAAACAAATCCGCAGAAATGAAGTGAAAAAAGGACCAAGCTCTTACTGCCGTGATCTGGAACTTCATTAAAAATAGTTCATCTACTCTTTCCTAACGTTGGGATCAGAAGGAAGGCGATGCAAATACTGTGTTTTTCCACAGCTTGGCAATGAACAGCATCTTGTTGTCTTCGGAGCATCTTTATTGTTTGGTTTCTGCATAGACCAGCGTTTGCCTCTCTTGTTATTTACACTACATGCGTAGTAACTAATTTTAAGTAATGAAGCATAACACAAATCCAGTGTGTCAAATTGTTCGACTGTAATGTAATGTAAAGTCTCTTGTTTACCAAGGCTGCATATATTTGATAAAAAATACAGTAATATTTTGAAATATTATTCATATATAACATAAGTGTTTTCTATGTGAATTTTTTTTTTAATCAAAGCTGTATTTTCAGCATCATTACTCCAGTCTTCAGAGTCACATGATCTTCAGAAATCATTCTAATATGCTGATTTGCTGCTCAAGAAACATCTCTGATTATTATCAATGTTGAAAACAGTTGTGCTGCACAATATTTTTGTGGAAATGGTGATATATTTTATTTGTCATGATTCACAGATGAATAGAAAGTTCAAAAGAACAGCATTTATTTGAAATATAAATCCTCTGTGATATTATAAACGTCTTTACTGGCACTTTTGAACAATTTAATGCATCCTTGCTGAATAAAAATATTAATTTCTTACCAAACGGTGGTGTACACGCCATCAGTTAGTTAACAATACTGACAACTGAGGAAAAACTATGGCAAGTTTATCACAAGTCAAGGCAAAAGCACAGCATTCAGCAGCACATTTGATCAGGACTAACCAAAGAAAACCTTTTAATATCTAAAATCAACTTCTAAACTAATAGATGGGTCAGTAAAACAATAGAAATGACAGCAGTCTGTGTGAATGAATAACATCTTCAGCCATGAGCAGTAAACTGCACCTCATCATTTATTAACAAACCCAAGCGAATGTGCGCTCATGTTTTCATCCCGAAGACTGAGAAAAACCCTGTTTAACCCCATTTTAAATATTTAACTAAGTTACTGATTCTATAAAAATCAACTGAACAGTAAAAACAACTTAACAAATCAATGACTTCCAGAGTACAGAGACCAATAATGCAAACGTGTTGTTTTGTCCATCGTCAAGCATCAAAGCCATACAATAGACAAACAGTATTAACAATTTGCCTACTTTATCAGGGTTTGTTTAAACATAAATCGATGTTTCTATTTTATTAACACTAAAGCTTAATGTAACAATCCAGGGACTCAAACACGTCAGAATGATGCAGTTACACTCTTTACAAACACTAAACTCTCGTTTCAGCTGACGAAAACTAATAAACAAACACATTTAACCGTGAAACAATGTGAAACGCTGAAGTTAATGCGACTGCTCTTACCTTAAACACAAGAGCGATTCACTAAAAACTTCCTGCGCTGTAACGCTACGTCATCACGTCAATCACATGACATCCAATGAGAAGCTGAGACTCGACTCAGGACACGCCCTCTTTCAGCGTGGCTCTGTTGACGTGTGCGTTTGTGTGCAGTTCCTCAAGTTTCAGGACTGCACCGCTAGAGGGAGACAGTGCGGTGTTTATTTATTTATTGTTTTCTTTTTTAGCATTTATTATTAATTATGTAATGTATGCTATGTAATAATAATTAATAATAATATTTCTAAAATAAATAAGCAAAGCCAGAATGTACTAAAAAAATCAATCGATAAAAATAAATAATCAATCTTTATAGTTCTTATTGTTATTTTTGATATTTTCGAAAGAGTGCTATTACCTAAATTGCCTCCAATCCATAATTATTTAATATATATTTATATTTATTGAACAGTAAATACCAAAAAATTATCCGTCATCTCCCCTCAAAATAAATAAATAAGTTAATATAAAATAAATAAACAAATAAAATAAAATAAAATACAGAGGCAATGAAAAGTACATTGTAATAAACCATTAAAGAGCTTAACATACACATAATGTACAAAGTGTTGTATACACTTCTTTTATCCAAGCCAAAGCCCGCCTTCAATCTTTTGGACTTAGAGGTCCCTAATAATTAATTTTATACAACTAGTCCGCATAGTCCACACACACACACACACTCACACACTCACACACTCACACAGATGTGAGTCCAGTTTTCTCTAAATAAGGCAGCTTATCTCTTTTCCTGTCATTTCATGTTGATTCCTCTGGGTATCTACACAGACAGACACAGGCTCAACATTCCTTGCCCTTATATGGCTAAATCCCTGCTGTGGGTGGGCTCTGTTTGGGAGAACAGAGGCCTCTGATTGGCCGAGAGTAAAAAGGGAGGGGTGCATTACTCAAGCTGATGCTTTGTCTGGAGAAACTTTTGTGTTCCGAAAGAGTAGCAGACAGTCTTACTTTCCAGCACAAAGACACAGTCTAGTGGACAGCACAATCCCCCAGCTGCAGCAGAGGTGAGTTATGATGTGTTACTGTGCTCTGGTTTGGTTTTATGTGCTATAAAGTCTTATAAAGGCTTTCCACTGAAGCTTTGTATGAGTTTGGGACACTGAGGAAAGATCTGGATGGAGCTGGTGACGTATGTTGTAGTTATGGAGCTAAAACTGATCCAGGATCATCGCTCATATGCTGAGCAAAGGATCTGATGGACGTTTTAGGGCTTTGTTTGAGTGTTTTTAATGCAGTTCAGTGCATTTCTGTTATTGGAGTTTGTCCATAAACCTTCATTATTCAAAGAAACTCTTGAGTTTCAAATACTGTGTTTGTCTTTGCATGTAGCTTGGCTGTAAGTGCTTCACTGGAAAAGAGTGTTTGGCCTTTTTGTGTGCCGCTGAGGTCAAAAGTCAGAGGTGAGACCCGTGACATATAACCATTGGCCGGAGAACAGATACAGGAGCAACTCATTAACAGAGAGCAACTATAAGGATATGATGATTTTATTTGAGATTTTATTGTAGTCTTCACTGAGAGGAGATGAAACTTTACTATTGTTAAACAGCACTGAAGTATTAATGAAGCAAAATCACTGGATAGTTTGTCGGTGTCTCTCTGAAAAGAGTCATTGAGGAATTCTTTGTGTTTGCAAAACTAATTCCAGAGACTACAAACATTTGCGGGAGAACGTGATAGTGTTTGGTCATTTATGGATGTTCATAAGAGCTAAAGTTAGTCATCATCACTCAGTGAGGGACTTACACACACACACACACACACACACACTCTCAGTGTCTTAGAGTACAGTAGGATGTCAACTTGAAGTTAATTTTCATATTTTAACCATCTTTTGAAGTGTTGATTTGTGTCATTTAAAAGGATAGTTGTTTTAGAGACACACAAACCAGCTAAAACCACAGAATTCATTGAGTCCATAGATAATACTTACTGATGATGTTTGTGCTCCTGTTTTCCCTCCGTAATGATGTCACTTCCTGTCGGATGAGTCAGTTTTGTTAGAAAAAAAAACAGGATAGAAAGTGACACTGAGGACTTAGAAAAACAAACATTTATCAATAATTAAAACAATATTTAAACCCAAGTTTAACACAGTTTATTCAATTAAATCTCAAGGATATTGTTTTATTTTTAACAAAAATTCAACAATTAAAACTATATTTTAAACACTAATTTATCCAATTAAAACACAAAAAATATTATAGTTTCCACAGAAGTTTAAAACTGATCAACAATTATAACAATAAACCCGTTTAACCCAGTTTATCCTATTAAAACTTAAACTATTATATTTTCAAAAGAAGTTTAAAACTGTTCAACAATTAAAACAAAATTTAAACCCAAATTTAACCTAATTTATTAAATTAAAGCCCAATAATATATTGTTTTATTGTTATCCAGTATATTATGACATACACAAATGAGGGCATGTGTCCTGCAGGATGATGATGTCCTTCAGGCGTCTGTTTCTAAATTCCTGCATTTAATCCTGTGGTCGAGCTGGACATTGTGATCTGGTCAAACACACACACACACACACGCACACAGACACAAACAAACACGGACACACAGACAGACACACATACACACACACACACACACACACACACACAGAGAGACAGACAGACAGACACACACACACACACACAGAGAGACAGACACACACACACACAAACAA